ATTGAACATGTTATATTTGAACTAGATAGTGGGAAGAATTATCTGGCCTAAATGATCCAGTATCTGATCACTTTCATACAATAATACAAATATCCTCAGCCTACTTCCCCGAGGCAGGGAAATGCCACAATTCCCATTTTGAGTGAAAGAAGGTGGGGGGTAAGTGGCTTGCCTAAAATGATACAGGGAGTGTGTGACGGAAAGTGATACTGAATCCTTGGCTAACACCAAGCCATCTTTCTCAGCTTTTGGAGACAACAGCTATATCCAGCCCCCTTTATTTATTTCTCTTCAAGCCATCATGCCAAAACCTCTGCTAAATTAGCGAGTGAAACTGAAGTAAAGCTTTCAGTGGATTGCTTTTCTCCATAAATGGAAATATCACAAATCATTCTGGGAAAACAGGTCTTTCTGTTCTTGTCCCTCTTTGTCTGCTTCTCTCCTTTTGGATGTCTTTTCCTCTGCCTCTGGCTCACAGTTTTCAGATGTACGGTCCTGACCATTTAAAAGTGTTCCTACCTCGCAGGAAGGGAGTAGCTTTTCATTCTTTGGAACTTACTATTTTGCAATGGATTTCACTCTGCAGGCAACCGAGACTTCTGAAAGAGACAGGGCTGCACAAAGCTGCACAAAAATAAACCATATCCCCAACAATACCGAGCCAGGTTCTCATCGGGGGTAACTCAGTCTGAGTTTTGCTGCAGCAGGGCTGGCAGCTGCCAGCTGTCCTGGATAGACAGCATGTACCCAAACAAAGATCCTGCCACATTGGAGGAGGTCTCTCTAAGAGATGAATGCACAGTTGACATTGAATTTCAGGCATCTTAGTCATTTAGTCTCTCTTGGCAAGTATGATTGTTTGTGCCTGTTCTAACGACCCAACTGGGTAACTTCTGTCCCCGTCCAGGCACTGCAGGGCTGCCTGTTGCAACAATCCTGGCTCTTATGGGCTGCATTTTCCAAAGTTTGGGCAGGCAACAAGCAAACAGTAGTGATTTTGTCTAGTGATTCCCAGTAACACACAGGGGAGGCAAGGACTGCTCTGTGGTTTCTCATGGACCTGGGCATCCCCAGCCTAAGCAGACAGGTTGGTGCTCATTCCCCCTCCTYTGCAGCCTGCACACCCTAAAGCAGGCTTTTGGAGGAGAGGGACTGAGGAACAGGAAGAAGATGGGATGGGGGAGCATGAACAAGGATGAGAGGAGAGCCCAAACTGCACTATAAGAGCTACAGGGAGGAGGTGGAAGCATGTGGCTTTAGTTTCTCAGAGAGGTGGATGGGAGAAGAAAAAGACATGCAGAGTTTCAAGGTTTACAGCATGAAATACCTTGAGTTGAGAAGAACGGGAAGGGCAAAGGGACACAAGCAGAGAGGAGATTTTGGTCTTACTTTTTTGGGGGGTTCTTTTATCCTTGATCCCTACATGCCYTCCAACATGAGGATTTGATCTTGCTCAGGCATTCAGGAGATGAATTGTAGGGTGGCACACAGCTCTCAACGTCCCTGGCTCTGCAAACCACACATGCAGAACAAGAAAAAGCTGTTGTGTCAGACCTCAGCAGCACTGCTGAGCCGCTACATCCCCCCTCCCCTCTTCCACCAGCACAGGTGCCAGGGAAGCTGCTGTACCATCTCAGCAGGCCACAGATGTCCATCAGAGAATTGCCGAGTGACCTTGGCACAAGAAGTGACATCAAGGCCTTCCCCACACCAAGCGGGTTTTTGAACCACTGCCAGCCATCACTCACCTGCTCCGTGCACTTTGGGAGCTGCTGGCACCAGCACACGCACACCATGCCCTCTTTAACACGTCCCTGTATGGCACCAGGCAGAGGAGCGCTGTCACCCCCATTTTAGAGGGTGGGACTCTGAGGCAGAGAGAAATGGTTTTAACAGCACACCTGTGGCAGAACAAAACTGAATCTTGTTCTCTTGTATTCCCAGTTAGCGCATTAATGACCTAAATTCTGCATCCTTTCCCCATCCATYGCCCAGAGGAGCTGGGAGGCATTGGAGGAGAGGGTGTGGTAGCACAGGCAAGCAGTCAGCATCTGGATCCACAGCACCCTGCACTCAGCACAGACAAAGCAGGGGCTAAAGTGGGACCGACACTGCCCTCACCAACCCCAGCAGGGCAGATGCAGGGAGGGGAATTGACCTGGCACAGGCCCTTCTGTGGAGAAGTGCGGCCCCGCAATGTCACAGCATTTTAGGCAAGCCAAGGCTGGACACTTCAGTGGCCAAGTACCCTGCTAAGCCAGGGCAGCAAAGCCTTTGGGACACTCAGCACCAGGAGCAGATTTTCAAAGAGCCTGCATGTCCCCTCAGCCTGTCTATGCGGCTGAACCTTTAACCAGCTATCCCACGCAAGTCCATATAAAAGACAGCCTGCACCAGATGCAGCATCTTCCCCAAGCAGCTCAATTCTTTACACAGGAATTAAACAGCCTCAAATTCAGCAAGAAACAGAGTGGGGGAGAGGGAGAAAAAAGGAAGCAGGGAAAGGATGTCACACAGTGAGGGGATTTCCAGATGCATCTTCCCTCCTTGGCTGATTCCAACTGGGAGGCTCCGGCTGTGTGCTGGGAACATCACCTGGGAGGTGCCTGCAGGTTCTGCCTGCTCCCCCAGCATGTATGGGCAGGAGAAACTTAGTGTTCAGGATCTGCTGGGCAAGGAACTGAAATCTGTGAAATCTGAAGCTGGAGACCTCCCCAGTGCCCCGGAGAGTGCCAGTGTTCCCGTGCGCTGTACAGCAGTGACCGCAGCCAAAAGATCAGGATGATGAGCTGCTCATCTGTCGCAGGCAGATGGCCCCAGGCAGTCAGGGGCAAGCAAGGGAAAGGACCCCCTTCATGCTGTATCTGCCTGCCTCATAGGGATTTTAGGATTTTAGTGGGCAAGTAGCAGTGTGGAAGTGTGCCAAGGCAATTTGCTCGGCTGTGAAGCTTTCCTTCCAGAAGAACAATGGCTGAGCAGCAAGAAACAGAGTGGGTACTGGAACAGGGTAACTGGATTGGGGATGGGTGATCAATAACCTTCTTTCATAACCYACAGTTTCAATGTGGGAATAGTATGTCAGAGCTACACAGAGAGGCTTTGTTCCTACTTTTCTTCTCCTATTACTAATCCCTTAATGCACATACACTCCTCTCTGCTGTCTCGTCTCCTCATGCAAGCCCTTTGAATGATTCTGAGCCCAGCTTCTGAACCAGCTGGGTGCAGAAGCCAAACTTGGGGGCTGACCTAAAGGAATCCACATACCTGCCTTCTATGTACTCAGCAATTTACTGAGGGTTGCTTCCCAAAGCATCCCAAATATTAATCCATCAAGGCTTGGCCTCAGGAAGAAACTCAGGGACAATCCTGTGAGCTTGGTCCTTCTTCCATCTGTTTACAAACACCTGAACGATGATTCAAACTCATCTGAAATAAACCTTCCAAGACATGGCTTGGGGATCTGACATGCTGCCTGCAGGTCTCAGCCTGGGTAGTCTTGGTCTGGAAGAGCTCTGTTGCTCTTCCCAGAAGCAACAACCTCAAGTGTGGTGGCTTCATTTTCCYCTTGTCCTGGACACCCAGCTGTTTCAGAAGCTGGGCTCAGGGTCAGGGTGGCAGGAGGCTTACCCAGGTTGCCACAGCATTTGCCACTCACCAGACTCGAGCTCTAAATGCTTCTGCAGAGGAATCAATGAGCCTCAGCCACTTTGTTGGTTGATCTCTGGTGAGGAGGCCCATGGGATCACCATGCCTACCCATGCACCTCATGCAGACACTGGGACAGATTATGTCCTCCTTTCTGGACAGATTATGTCCATCAGATCTGTGAAAATGGCCAGTGCCAGTGTTCAGAGGGAAATGGAATGGAGGATAAGAGAAAARGTTTGTGGGAACCTCAGGGGATATAATGAAATTGTCTTTCACATGGTCACCCCTGTACAAGGATGGACAGCCTGATTGTTTGATATACTAATTTACCAGTGGTCATGGTGAAAATTATGTGGCTTGAGGAGTATCTCTCTGGAGTGGTATTCCTGATGTCAGGAGAAGAAATGAATGATGAACATAAGAGTCTGGTACACATTCCAGCTAACAAAAGACTTGGAAGATGTCGCTGGCCTCCAGTGGGATGGTCTTTTTGGTCACGGAGAGTGTGAAAAAGGTGCCCCATGACTAAAACTAGCAAAAGGCCCTGTACAAATCCCAGCCTGAAGAAATTGTGTCCAGGCCAATCTCCCTCCCTTATGGTAGAAGATTTTTCTCCCCCCTGTGCAAGGGTGCTTCACTGCATATATCCACTTGCACCAAGCTTGTAGCCTCAGCCTGTGAGAGGCCACAAGAGAAGGCCTGACAAAGGTATGCAAAAGCAGTCATTAGGAGAAAGCAGATTAAGAGTTTTTGTTCTCCCACCAAACCAGAACAAAGGGATGTGTCCTGCCCACTGAATGAAAGGGCAGCAAATTCGCAGCTCAGAGAAACAAACACGTTTGCACCCACACGGGATCACCCTGCCATGATCCCCGCACTGCTGGGATCCACGGAGGCCATACCGGGGGAAGCACTGAGGTGTGATGATGTGACCCCCAGTGACACTGTCGATGCTGAGGGAGGGAACCCTGACACCTGTCCTTTGCAGTAGGTCCCAGTCTCTGGCTCTGGTTCCTATCCCACCTCCCTCAAAGCGGGCAGTGCTCTCCCACCTGTCTGCAGCAGGAGTCACAGAGCTCCTGGTGCTCTCCTCTGCCAACTGAGGCATGCTGGGCTAGATGGGCATCAGGCTGGATCCTGACAGCAAACCTCACATTCCTGGGCAAATACGAGGGAGATCCATTGGCGAGTGTGCAAGGAGAGCCCCGGGCATTTCCCAGGCATGCACACATGAGTGGGTGTGCTGCCTGGGAGGAAGGCAGGGCGGGCACAAAAGGTGACACAGAGGGCGGCTGTTCCTGCAAGGCAGGTTTTGGTGTTCTCATTTGTTCTTTTTTTCTCTTGTTCCCTAGGGAATTTTAAAGGTCTGTGTAAGCAAATCGATCACTTCCCTGAGGATGCAGATTATGAAGCCGATACAGCAGAATATTTCCTCCGTAAGTCCACAGGCTCTTTTTGCAATGGCTCGTAGGTGCTAGCGTCGGGCGCCTTTTCTTTTCTGAACACGAGGTGGTGGAGACATGGGGACCTGTGAGGCTCAGTGGAGACCCCAGAGTCTTGTCACCCCCTAAAAATGGCTCCATTCTCACCTCCCTGTGGCCCTGGCCGTGAGACAGTGCAAATTCGAACTTACAGTAACAAGTAATGGCTTTTTTTTTTTATTTAGCAGCAATTAATTGCAATATAAAATCAGTCTCAATTCAAATCCATTGAAAAGCTGCTGATTGGGCATAAGGCCAGACTGGGCTAGCTGGAGCAGTGTGTGTTTGAGTGTGCATGTCCTCCTAAAGCAGAGGAAGTTTATATTTCCTTATCTGACAGTCCAGTGGCACCAGACTTAAGAAATCAGCTGGATTTTGTCTGAGGAGCTCTTATGTCTATGTTCACCTTTCCCCAAGCACCACTTCCCTCCAGAGGCTGCRGATCTGATATCTGCGATTTTAGTGATGGGAGCAGGGAGCAGGAAGCAGGAATAAGGACAGGCAGAGCCTTTTGGAGACAAGACCTGGTGCTCAGCCAGAGCCCCTAGGAGAGGTGCCGAACCCTGGGCACAAGGCATGTCTGTAAGGAAACCCAGCCCGAGCAGCAAGCCCAGCCTGGGATGTGTGAGTGAAGCTCACTGAGCTTTGCGCAGCAGCATCCTGGCCAGCAAGACAGATCCACATCAGGTGTTGCCCTGCCTGGCTGCCCTCCCCAGGCAGCTTTTCCATCACCCTAGAGGCAGGAGCTTACTCTTCCTTTAGCACAGCTGAACAGTGAACACTCCTTTTAGGTCCCTACCTCACTATCCTGCCCTCCCTCTGCAAGTCCAACAACATCTTTTGATATCATGAGATCTTCTCCCTACAGAAATCTGAGATAAGTGCTTTTGACCTTCCAAGGTTAATCATCAGAGGCTTCTGATGATTATAATCATTCATCCTRGCTTCACCGGGAGTCTTTCAGAGTTGCTCCTTGTCATCCGGGTATGCTCCAAGCCAGATGTGGAGACCCGGCCCTGCGGCAGGGATGAGAGAGACAATTTAGGATCTGTGAGGCGCATTTGTATGCGAAAAGAGGCAGATCTTATGCTGCTTCCTCTTGGTTTCTCAAACAGTCCTTCATCCACTGTAAACTGTAAATAACCGAGGGAGATTGCTTCTCTCAGCTGCCTTTCTGCAGCACCAGTGTCTTAATTGCTGCATGGCCCCTGAACAGCAGAGCTGAAGTCAGGGGTTTGATCCAGTTTGGCACAGGCATGACAAAGGTTTGCAGGCTGCCTCCGAGGGCAAACCAGCCCTTGCAGGGTTGCTTGGGAGCAAGGAACATGCTTGCAGCATCAATTGCACTTCAGAAAAAAAAGAGCTGGGGGAAGGGGCCAAACATCTCATGAAAGATGGGTTTATTCCCTCAGAGAGAACAAGATCTGAAGACAAAAATTGGCCCAATGTCAGAACCTGACAGTGTCCCCAGGGTAGAGCCCTTTTTAAGAAAGAAACAGGTTCAAAGAGGGATTTGGCAAGTCAATAAAGGACTACTTGGGTCACTCCTGAGGGAAGTGGGATTTCTGCTGGCTTAGACCTGCCTGGAGAGGGCCCCCACTGAACAGATTCTTCCCAGAACTTCTGCCAAACCAGAGTCCCTGGGCGCTCTGCATGGGCYATGTCTGGCAGTGCCATCAAGAACAGCTAGGAAGATGTTTATTAGTATCAGATTAGGCAATTCCCCCAGGCCCAGTGAACCGGGACAATGATGGGGCAGTGTCCATGGCCTGGCTAGAAGGGCTTAGACATTATTTCTGCCAGGCACCCACAAAAGGTGTCTTAGGTTTTTTGAAACCAAGCACCTGTTATCAGAGAGGAAGCAGAAGCAYCCTTGGGTTGCTGTGCTAGCAGACACAGATGATTCAAGGGAGCATACAAAAAAAAGGGAGCCCCTTGTCTTTAGGCCACGGGCTCTGCACTCAGGAAGGCTGGATGATATCCTGCCCCTCTCTTGCCTCCTGTGAGAGGTTGAGGAAGTCCTTCTCCATCACACGACACCTGCAGCTTCCCATATCAGTCAACTACTTTGTGTTCTCCCAGCAGACTTGAATTTCAGAATTAAGACACAGATAAAACCAATGTAGTCAGGACCAGGCTGCAGGACTGACCGAGCATCCCTCTAGAAACCCTCTCAAGAGTGGGTGTCTGCTTGATGTTTGCTTCCTCACATTTAAGTTTCCCCTCGTCAAATCCCACCTTGCTTTCCAGAAGCTATTAAGGTAGTCATTACTGCTAGCCTGTTCCCTAAAAGGCAGCCAGGCAGTGCTGGAAAGAGAGGTTTCTCCTGCTTTCTGCATTCCCCGTGCACAGGCTAGGTCCCCCTCAAAGAGCTAATTGCTTGTGTCTGGCAGGATCTAGAGGCTGACAGGGTCTTTGAAGTGTGGTCTCTGCTCACTTAGGAAATAGTCCTGCATTTGCTTCAGGACTAGGGTTCATTCTTTCAGGCAAAGAAGGATTAGTTTTCATCCCCTCTTCCCGATCTTTGCTCCACAAGCAAAATTGCACCAGCCCGTCTGATACCTTTCTTTATCGAGCAGTGCTTCATTTCACACTTTAACAGCTTATTTTCTCTTGTGAAGGGAGGAAAGAAGGCCTTTCTTAAAAAAAAAAAAAAAAAAAAAAGAATATTTGTACCGCAGACTCAGGCAGAGCGTTGGCTCCCACCGAGCCGCCCACGAGCGGTGCGTGCGTTCGTGCCTGTGTGCGTGGGTGTGCACACACAGACTTGGCCTTTCACTGCGGGAACGCCAGTCAGGCCCCCCAGAAGCTTTGGGGTATGTTTTGCATGCACATATGAGCATATACGTGCATCTGTGCATCTATGCCATTGCCCTCTGCTGGCTGAGCTCTTCCTGTATCGACCGATGGAGAGCGTGCGTGTGTGGGARCTGGCACATCCAAACCCATCACTGCCCTCGGGAAGGAGCCCAGTCATTTAATCGCTAGGATAAGCCCCGCATTTCGACACACAGGGCTGGGACTTTTGCTTCTCAGTCTTCACTGCAGCTGCAAAGCAGTGCGTGGCACCGGGAGCTTTTTCTCAGCCCTAAAAAAAAAATAAATAAATAAATAAATAAAAAATCTCCTTGAGATGCTCATGCCCTTTTGGGAGGATTCGAGATTGAGCAGCTCTGCAGGAAACATTCGGGTTCTTTGAAGTGCAGGCTCGAGCAGCAGAGCTCCACAGAAGGAGAAGCTGCTGAACGGTGCCTGGGCTCTCCCTCCAGCCCACAGTCCCCCAAAAACAGAGGAAAGGATAGCATRAGGGGGCACAGACAACACAGGCAGGCTCCCAGCACAGCTTTCAGCCCCACAGCCCCCTCTTCCTCCTCATACCGAACCGCCAGCTCCATGGCAGCAGCAATGGCCAGGGTCTGGGAGAGTTGCTTTGGACCACTCTTTTTCTGACACACTTTGTTTCTCTCTCCCTCCCTCCCTCCATCCCCTAATGCCTTTATCTTTTCTTAAATTACTCCCCTACCACACGTTGCCCTCTGTCTCTCCCCTTCACCCCCACCCACAAAACGTGCTCGCATGCYCCCGGTCCCCTCACTCCGGTGCCGTTTCCCTGCCCCTGTTTCCTCTCTCTCATACCTGTGCTGTTCTTTCTGCCCCGCCCTCCCTGTCTCCTCTGCAGGGGCTGTTAGAGCCTCTAGTATTTTCCCGATCCTGAGTGTGATTCTGCTTTTCATGGGTGGACTCTGCATTGCAGCCAGCGAGTTCTACAAAACCCGACACAACATCATCCTTAGTGCCGGCATCTTCTTCGTGTCTGCAGGTAAAGGGATGCAGAGGGCTGGATAACCCGGGGATGGGCTCCAGGGGTTGGGGGGCTGCCCAGCCAGGACACCTACAAAGGCACAGTTACCTAGGCAGGAATGTGTGTATTCCCCAGCCCTGATGAACCTTATCTGGGCTGAAGCAGCATCACCAGGATGCCTCTCCACCCTGCCTGCTTGCCCAGCAGAGGCAGGTGGGCAGGAGCTTTCCTACTGCTTGGGAGCTGACGGAGGGAGAGTGCTTCCCTAACACACGGCATCGCTCAGGGACCAGCCAGAAGTGCAGTCCAGGGAAGAGGCAGACATATGAGGAGGGTTTTGCCCGAGTTTCCCAAGGAAAACTGCCCACCAGGAGGGGATGGGCAAGGATTCAACCCCACAGTCCCCACCACTGCCATGTGTGACCTTCCTGACATCTTCTCTCTCCCCTACCGAATGGCTTGCAGGTCTGAGTAATATAATTGGCATCATCGTATACATATCAGCCAACGCTGGAGACCCCTCCAAGAGTGACTCCAAGAAGAACAGCTACTCCTACGGCTGGTCCTTCTATTTCGGGGCCCTGTCCTTCATTATAGCCGAGATGGTGGGAGTGCTGGCTGTCCACATGTTCATAGACCGGCACAAACAGCTGCGCGCCAACGCTCGTGCCACGGACTACCTCCAGTCCTCCGCCATCACCCGCATCCCCAGCTACCGGTACCGCTATCAGAGACGCAGTCGCTCCAGCTCCCGCTCCACCGAGCCTTCACATTCCAGGGATGCCTCTCCCGTCGGGATCAAAGGGTTCAATACCCTCCCATCAACAGAGATCTCGATGTACACCCTGACCAGGGACCCGCTGAAGGCGAGCACCACCCCCACCGCCACCTACAACTCCGACAGGGATAACAGTTTCCTCCAGGTTCACAACTGTATCCAGAAAGAGAACAAGGACTCTATCCACACCAACACAGCCAACCGCCGGACCACCCCGGTATGAAGCCGTCGCCAGGAGCTGAAAATGGGGCAGGAACGGGCTGGAGGAGACGGGGTGGGCTG